GGGCGGCTTGTTTTACAACGTCGTTGCCAAGCGACGAAAACCTAACCCCGATGGCAAACACCGGGGGGGGCGGGGGGGGGTACTGCAAGTTCGACCTCCGACGATGTTAACTGACCTGAACATCGTTGTCATCCGTGAGTCCCCTGAGCTTGCCGATGGCAAGTCTTGCCTCCATGGAGTACTCGTCTTTAGCCAGGAGCCACCTGAGCATTCAATTCGGGGTAGGGGGGTCGCATCACACGTGTGAGTTTCCGCGGGTGCAGCCACCCGAAGGTGTGAGGGAAAAGTGTCGACATCACTTCACCCCCTACAGGGGTCGAAATACCTCCCGTCGCCACGATGAACACAACATGCGTGCCGCGATAGCAGATAGGAAGCATCCTCGATGCCCGGAAGAAACTTCGTCCACCGTTCTACAACCAGAGACGGTTACGTCAGGAATGCACACGTGGGGCTAACCGCGAAGCCAGAGGCGAATGGCATGAAGCCAAGCGACAGGGGAGGAGCGCCGTCTTCCTGGCGGGTCTTAATGTCTCACGGTTGCCCCCGTCCGCACGCGTGGTGCTACCGTATGCCAGCTGCCTACTGTTGTACCCGCCGAGACTTTCGCCCGTGCATGTCCGTGACTTCCCCGACCTTTCGAAACTGAGGGCTGTCTGTCAGCACCGCCAAAGCCACCCCAGACGACAATACCCCCCCCCTGGCAGAGCAGGAAACAACGATTGGCCACCGAACCTGTGGGCACAACGCTCCGTCCTCTCAAAGACGCCGCGGTCAAACGGTCTAACCGCTACAGTGGCGTGCGAGAAATGTCAGCCCCTCCTTCGGATCTCACCTAGGGCTTTCCAATATGAGAGGCATGCACACGAGCTCCACGAGGGCCAGGAGCGGCGTAACGGCGAACATCCAGCGCCAGCCCGAGGGCGTGGCGAGGGGAAAGGCCAGCAGGTTGGAACCGAGGATTCCGATCACCAGCGCGAACTGCGTCATCGTGCCCAGGGTGCCCCGCAGAGTTGGCGGCGCGAGCTCCCCGAGGTATATGGGCACGACCACGGAAGAAAAACTGTTCCGTTTTCATCAATTGAAGAGTATTTCGGGGGGCGGTTTTTGGGGGGTTTTGAGGTACACGCCGGGGTGGGGTGCGGGGGAGGTGTACTCATGTACAATTGTACCGTAATCGTTAGACCGGCCCAGGCGGGGGTGGGGGCGGGGGCGGGCAGGGGAGGTACGGGTGGAGGCAAGCGATGGAGGCAGCAACGTGAACGGCAGGCGTGCTTGATAAAAGAAATGTACTTCTCCCGGACGATGAAAAGTACGTGGCGCGAGCTCCCGGGCGGGAACGGAAAAGAATGCACTCACACCAAACTCGTCCGGAGGCTAAGTCCTGCCGTTCAGTCTATTCCGCGGAACCACCCTCGGGGCGCGGGGACTCAGCACACACATTTACACAGTTCACGCCGTTGAGACCGACGCCTCTTGAATGAGAGCGGGGATCGGGATGGTCGACGTCAGCAATAATTTGCCCGAACCCGCACTACAATGAACGATGTCGCCATAATCAGCCGGTCAGTGTGGCGGTGGAATTGATTGATCTAAAGACCCAACAGGACCGGCCGCCGTGCGTTGCACGCACGCGCAAGGACACATCATACACCCACACAAACAATAATAACCAACCCGGGTCCCAGACCATGGCCGTTTTTTGCTTTCAGCCGCACTGAGACTGACGTCTACTCAACCGTCAGCTGGTTAGCGCGGTCGATGCCAAACAACAATAAAACACACGCACCCGCAGGCGAAACCGATCATGAAGCGCGCAGGCACAAGCCAGAGCACGGTCGGCGCAAGCGCGAACAGCAGACCCCCGATGAGGTAGATCCACGTGTTGACGATGATGGCCCCCCTCCGCCCGTTTCGGTTCGAGACCGTCCCGGCCAGGATCGCGCCGAACGGCCCGCCGATGGCGAACACGGAAACGGCGAGCGACCATTCGGTCGTCGTGTGTGAGGGGAACACCACCTTCTCTGGGGCATTCTGACAAAAAATACAGGGGCGGGGGGGGATTGCATGCCTTGGCGGTTAGACCATTGACCACGCCTGCTCGACAGGACGGAGCATTGTTCCCAAGGGGGTCGAACTCAGGTGATGCGTCGTCAAAACCTACTCGCAGAACTTCCACTTCTCTGTGCTAATATCTCGAGACGGGTAGGCTTTCAGTGGTTGAACGAATGAAAATAAACACTTCAATAAACACGCATTGTGCAGTTCTGGCAGGAGGCCAGCGTACAGCTTTCGAAGCCCCCGAAACATGCCGCCTTGCATGTCAAAAACAGCAGTACCGGCCTCGGTCAGGAATGGACGGCATCCGCGAGGGTAAAAGTGTGCACACAACCACGCGTCTCCACTCATCCTCCAACTCGGCTGTAGGCAGCACAGGGTCACACCTCCCCCCACTGTTGCCTTGTCCGTTTGCCCCCCCACCCGCTCGCCCTTGCTCTCTCTCCCGCATCCCCACACCCCGTTCGCTACTCCAGATACTGGATGGGGAACCCCGGTGGCACAAGACCAAAAGGTACGGCCGAGAACACCTATTTAGTGCAAAAGAAAGTAGGCCACGTGTCCATATCTATTTGACCTGTCTACCCCATGTGGTGGTTGTCTGTTTCTCTCTGTCTCCACGCCTGCTCCTTCCTCAGGACCGCTTTTGCGAGGATCTTGATGTCATTCGACACAATCAAACACGAAATATCCTCAGTATCCTCAATAAATGCTACCGGCTCCTTCCTTACCATGACACCGATGTTGAAGCCTACGAGGAACTCGAGGAGGACGGCCACGAGCACCGCGGTGACGAGCGGCCAGGTCACTACCACTTCGTCCTCGACCCCCTCTGCTTCAGCCCCCTCCACGTACTTGGCCTGTCCCGCGATGTCCAGGTCCATGAGGCTCAGCTTGGAGAGAGACTTCGCGATGCTCTTCTCGCGGTACTGCATTCCGTACACGCTGATGGCGCAGGGAGGGGATGGGGGTGGGTGCGGGGGATCACAATCGGCACCTTCGGTAATCTTCGTCAAGGTACACCGGGCGGATTTTGAGCCCTTCGATGTAAGACGAGCCACACCCCATAAAAGTCTCTCGGTATGATGATTTGCAGGCCTTAACTGTCAGACCATTCACCACGCTTTCTAGAGAGGACGGAGCATTGGTCCCATAAGACCGATCACCGATGGCCAATCGTTCCTTCCTACTTCGCCAAAGGCGACTCAAAATGTTTGCTGTATAGTCTAGCCGGTTAAATTTTCCTACAATTTCCTGGAATCACTCCGGAATATATTCTGAGTGATTGACGTGCCCCCTAGTAACACCCCCCCCTCCTATGTGACCCCGGTTGGGCCATCTAGCTAGTAGAAGTGGAGGATAGTGGCCAGAGGAGCAGACGACAGAGTCCAATGATGGGAGACAAAAAAAAAAATAACAATAAAAAAATAAAAAACCTTATATCGTAAGAAAGGTCTGTTTCAGGCGGATCGCTTGATCGAAGCCGATTTTTTTTGATGTTGTTGGCGACAGAATCGCGATTCCGTCGAGATTTTGCCAGATTTTACTACGTTTTATGCTCGAGTGTGAGGTCCAATTTTTTTCTAAGATCGGTTTTGAGCGTATCACGTCGAGGGGTATGCGGCGACCCAACTCAACTTTTTTTTCGCTGAGGTATCACGGAGAAACGGGCAAAAAACCTCATTCCAGGTGGCCTCAGAGTTGTGTTTTTTGGGGAGAAACGCACCGATAGATTTCGAAGAACTCCACGGATTCGGGCGAATGGGACCTGCACCCAGGACCGTTTGTTTTTTTTTTTCGAAAAATTGTTTTTGAAGGAGATATGGCCGGTCAAGGTTTGGTGTGCTCACACACCACACACATCACACGACACACCATACAGCACACCACACAGCAGTCCCATAGGCCCCACCGAGGGCCCACGCAGTCCTATACTTGAACATGCCTGGGCGCGGGCGTCCTCCCGGTCCCAAAAAGAAGGCTGGCAGCTTCCAAACACGAGCAGCTGGCCGGTTCGGCGGGAAAAAAGCGGACCCTCCCCCACCACTCGCTGCGGACAATCCACCACAACGAGACAACGACACATGCATACATGTTATGAAGGAGACGAAGAGGACCACAGCAGCAGCAGCAGCAGCAGCAGCAGCAGCCGGCACAGCAGCGACAGTGATCATGGCAGCTGCAGCTCGGGCAGCTCGGGCCGCGTCAAATACGACGGCAAGAGCAAACGGCAGCAGCGGCGCCGCCGAGAATGCGGCGAACTGCAGAAGAGAAGCGGGGTGTGCGCACACTTCTTGAGATGTGGACATCAGCTCTGCCCTGCAGCACCCCAGCCCCCGCTTCTACAGAAGACAACAGCAAGGCGGGAGAGGTCGAGGATGGGACGGTTGTCTTCGAGATTGAGGGAGGTGGAGACGACGGAGACGAGGTCTGCAATTGGTTTGGAGAAGATAACATGCAAGGGGTTGATGTGTGCTTCGAGGGACACAGTTCCGCGTCTGAGGGGCTCATCTTTGGGGGATACGGTGGCGACTCGGCCGACTGCACGTCGTCCGAGGAATCTAACGTGGAGTGGAGCGACACCGAGGAGACGCAGCAGCAGCCGTCGCAGCAAGCGTTCAAGAACCCCAACAGATTCGCGGCAGATCGAGATTCCGCCGCACAGCGGAAATCACACCGCGTGCCACCGACGCCGACTGCAGCTCCAAGACCGCGGCAACCGAGGCCAAAGGGTGGGCCAGCCGGCCCGGGACGAGGCAACAGGGAGGAGCACCCTCACCCCAAGCGCAGGAAACTAAGCAGCAAAGCGGCACGTAGGCGGAAGAGGGCGTTGAAGTAAATCCGAAAGATGGCGCGCAATCAGGGAAGCGGCGCGGACAGGGAGAGGAAAACGAACTCGGATAATGAACATGAGAGACAACCTCTCACTCGTATACGACCTGCTATGCGTTGGAAGGCGTTTCGGGGCAATGTTTCGGGGTAATAACGTGCCATTTCGGAGAAAGAAGTGTCGGTTCGGGATAATTTCGGGGTAAATTGCGCCCCCAAACGACCATTTTCACCGTTTTTTTTGTTGACACCGGATTTCGATGCTTGTCGACCTTGCGGTTCTCCTTCACTTTTTTTCGCGTGTCAACTCTCAAAATCCAGCGAGATAAAGTGGGGGTCACCTTGCGGGAAAATTCAACAGGACAGACTCCACCTAGTTGCTCCAGTCTTCTCCGGCTAGTCCATGCCTCAATTCTCTCTGTACATTCCTACTAGTCTTGCTTGCTCAGCCACGTACGTTTCACTCTCCGCTTCTTGAAACTGACATTCTGCAACCATTTAACTGGGAGAGGTTGAGGATTATATTCGTTTGCTGGTCAAAGCTGTTTCGTTGTGCACGGGGGGAAATGCGTCTCCGCGCTTTCGAGATCTTGCTGCCGTTTCTTGTAGCTTGTCTTTCTACGATAATGCACTTGGGACCGAACATTCATCACGTCACGCGTTTCTTGTCGGAGGAGAGGGAGGAGGAGGCTTTCAGCGGGTGCGGGACAGCAGCAGTCGGTAAGTTTCAGGGCGGTATTCTCTTGACAAAAGTAAAAAAAGACACGCCTTTCGAATCTAAGGGTGGGAGAGGGGCGAACTCGGTTTTCTCTCGTGAGGTGAAGTCTTCTCGGCAAGATACGAAAGTTTCCGTAGGTAGAGGACACGGAGATCACATGAACGCGCGACGTAGAGTGTATTTTCGCAGAAGAGGTAGTAATTTCGTGCTTGAGAGGTTCATGCGCCATGTTTGACAAGTTACAGCAGTAATCAGCTGGTATGGGCAAGGCAAAGTGATGATGTTCGCAGCACAATCGGTGAAGACACACGGGTAAAATGCAAGCTACATCGCAAAAAAGGTGCCATGTTTTCTTTTTAGAAATATGTGTAAATCCAAAAGTACTTACCACGCGATATATCCACGAGCAGTAGCACCAATGGAAGGACTGCTGCAAAACATTCATCTTGGGCACTTCTAGTCAGATCAATGCTCTTGACTCTTGACAAAACAGTAGCCTAGTCGCCGTGGCAACTAATAACTGCTGTGAGGCATGTTGCAATTGGAGTTGTACTGTATTGTGACAAAAAAAATGGGATCCGAGGTTGGCACTTCACCTGAGTTATGTTTACTTCTGAAAAGTGGCCTACAGCAATATGTTTCTCTGCGCTTAGAGGTGGTGACACAGGCACATAACGCAAGAAACTCGGGTCGAGCCTTTTGGATTCCAAACCGCGGGCGTAAGACGGCGAGCTAACGTCATGCCGAAGCGTCATGCACACATGTTCATGCCTGGATGTGCCGTTGAGTGCGGATGCCCATAATGCGGTGAATCAGGTTAGGTACGTACCTGCACCGATGCTCCCCCCCCCCCCCCCCCCCCCCCCCCCCCCCCCCCCCCCCCCCCCCCCCCCCCCC